AGAATGAGAGTTAGCTAGGTTACAGTGAAAGCAATTAGTATCTGGATATTGGTTTGGATAAATAGTATGAAATAGTTGATATGTTGGTAACTCATTAAGAAGAGTTTTGATTTTAAAGGATTTTAGTTGATTAAGTCTAAAATTAGTAATATTGTGCGAAGGTTTTTGATTGTGATTAAAATCTTATGTTAGATTATTGCAATACTAAGTCATTTATATTGTATATTGCTTTATATCAGATTGTTATGTACTAAATAAGAATAAGTCATGATTTATAATAAAAAGATTATTCTCACTACAAAGTTCTGTTCTGAATTTGTTAGTTTTTAAAAGAACATCTTAAAAATTTTTATTTTTGTTTTTATAAATCACATGCTTGTGTCAACATTATGTCACTACAAAATACACCTATTATGTCAAAGGCCTCCAAGAAAAATTTGCATAAGAAAGAACTATGCACTATAAAAAAAACTAAAATTGAAAAATCTGATAGCTCAATCATCAAAGAGGGTATTTCCAATTCTAATACTAATCATATCGAAGAAAGCATAAACATATTTTACAATCCTTTAAAAATAGATTAAATATCTTTTATTACATTTAGTTTTATAGTATAATCTTCTTAGAGATACTTTTCATCTTTCGAGATAGGCCTAGGATCTGAGTATTCTTTCTTTATTATTATTATTATACTCTACTATTATTGAGGATGTGATTATCAAATCATGATTATCTTGTTGCAAGAAGAGGAAAACTGAATGAGTTTCCCATTTAATGCTGAGCTACAAGATGAGAAATGATTTGAATGTATCCATCTCAAAATATTTTTAACTTAATAAAATATATCATCTCATAAGGCATTTTCTGAATATATTCTTTAGTATAAAACCCAATCAGAAACCTACCAGTCAACCAAAGATGAGGCTCATGAATATATTTACACCTGATGGATATCTGAAGACTTTTTTTCTAGTGATCTTAAATTAGCTAAAACTTCACAACCTTATACTTTGATAAATCCAAAATTTACTTTTATTAAAAAGTTTTTAGAAAGAAAGCAACAGAGACTATTTACTCCTTTTTTGCCACCTCAAATAATTCAACTGACACCTATTGACAACTCTGAAATACCAATACATTATATGACTCTGCTGAAGTCCAAGATCTTTAATGAAGGTTTTTCAAATTTGACATCTGAATAGTAGAAAGAGTTTGGGTTGTGGGCTAATTTTTTAAAAGTTCCTAATTTTAATAAGTGATTTCACTTTTACTGCCATTACCTCTGGTCTAATGTTATATATGCACACAAAGAAGCCTGGAAAAAAATACAGGAAGAATATAATATCTCAGAGACATTCAGCTAATCATTAAAAAATAAATTAGATAAGGCAAATAAGATTACAAAGGATGTAGCAATAGATAATAAATTTGAAGGTTACTACCATGTCTTTGAGCCACAATGCTTCAAAAATTCTTTTGGTGAAACTGTAATAGACTTTTTTGGTTTACCCAATATGAAGGTTATAGAAGATTCAAGAATGATAGTTAGTCAATATTACAGTCACAATCTCGATAATAAAAAACACCAGTCAAAATAATTTAAGAAGAATTTAGTAGAACATTTTGATGTCTTTATGAACAACAATAATGAACCCTATATGACTGCAAATACTACCTCTTCTCATAGTCAGAATCATATAAAATATGTTCAAAAATTAATATAAGGCCTTTAACTGTTATCAGATGCTATTAATGGTTATATTAAAGATACATATTCAGCCTTGTATATAAAGATAAGAAAACTTAATCTTGGACCAAATGTTTTGAAATCATTTGATGCTTTTCCTACAGTAGCAATTAATTTCAATATTATTTCTTAGTTCCATCAAGATCTAAAAGACCACTATGATTTACTTTGTGTGGTCTGCCTACTTGGAACATTTGAAGGTGAGCAATTGATGTTTTCCAAGTTAAAGGTAATAATATATGCAAAAAAGAGTCAGGCTATTACTTTTAGATCAAACATCTTAGTTTATAGAAATCTACTAGTTTTTTCTGATATACAATATAGTGTCATTTTTTTTGTTTACTTAACAATGATCAAGCAAAATAAAAAATTTGGCTTTTTATTTAGCAATTCAGATTTAGAAAATAATATGGAAGTAAGTATTAATGATAATAATAAAAAAGCAAAGATATCAAAAAAGCTTGTAATATGGGATAAAAAACATTTTAAATCTTTAAAGTCAGGTTCTCAATTACCAAAAATTAAAAATTCGAGATAAAGCTATCTTAGTAAGTATAATTGCTATGTTAAAAATTCTATATAGTTATTCTTCAAACTTAATATTTATGTTTGCTTCTACTTATTTAAGATCTTAAACCTGTAAAAAGAGGTTTATTGGCAAAATACAAAAATAATTAGCATTAGATTGTAATATAATCAAATATAATATAATTGAGTAATATTTCAACTAACTTTTTGCCTCTGGCTCAAAGCTCATATATTGGGATATTTTTTACATAATTTTGCTATTTTATATTGACTTCGAATACACAAATTTTGAATTGAAATTATACTATGTATAAAGTTGATAAAATTATGTAATATATTATAAGTCTTATAATCATTATAGGTTCTTAAATCACTATATATTATTAAATATGGCAAATATCAGTATTTCAGTCATTCTTGATAAAAAAGCTAAATCACAAAAACTTATTAATAATAGACCAGAATATGATATGAAATATGTTAACTTATATATTCTAAATTATTATGATATTAATGATTATCAACAATTCTTTGAAGAACTCTTTAAGACTAAAAGACAATATAATACTTTATCAGTTATTCAGCCTAATAAAACTTTACAGCAATAGGCACTCAGAGTTCAAATTCCTTTACAAAAGCTAATCTTTGAGAGAAAGAGAAGTGTTTATCATATATATGCTCTATTTTTAGCATTCAGTAAGGATACATTTGTAAATCATAATTACTACTGATCTAGAATTCATAAAACTCATATAGCAATTTGTCTCAATTGCATGAAGCTTATTCAGGTTAATGATGTGAAGCTAAAAAAAAAATTTCATCACACTAGAAATAGATATATAAAAATTCTTGAATCTAAAGATCTGATGCAAAAACATTGGAAGTACGGATGCGATAAAGCTAGAACTAGAGATGGTTCAGCAAGAATTATTTAACAGGCATATAGATGATTTCAAGAAAGAGTACCATCGAATGCATAACTTACTTGAAACAGCTTAGAAAATGATAATACTCTGGATGATATGAAATTTTTAGGTTTAACAAGACATAAAGTGAAAAATTTTCAGACTTGAGAACAATTTAATCAGTGATGTACTAAATGAATTGAATTATATAAAAACAATCCTATGATATGCAGTTCTATTATTAATAGACAATATAAAGAATATTATATTCTGGATAATTGGATAGAATGCAAAAAGAGTCAATTGCAGATTAGATTCCAAAAGTGACTTTTAGAGATAGAAGCATAGTATTTATTTGATTTATTAATTCCTTGCAGATACAAAATATCTATACTATTTATATAATATTTTTTGACTGTGCTAGTTCTACTAATACTCTTGAAGATATAGATAGATAGTTGTCTACTATTTTCCTAGAGGCAAAGCCTCATTGCTTTGCAATAATGCTATTCTTGAGATCACAATTAAGAAATATATTATGAAATTTCTGGAATAGAAAATATTAATGTGAAATAAAAATTTATGAAGTGGGTTCAGCAGGTAATATATTTTTTATCTTGCAATTTTGCTGTAACTCTATCTCTTTTTGCGAATCTAGTGGAGTAACAAACCTTAGTTGAATTGCAAGTAGATCATCCTCAGGCCTATCTAGATCAAATACAATAAATTCATCTTTGCATAAGTAGCTGTTAATAACCATTGATGCATTTTTTATGTCATCTGTATATCTATGGCTAATTTTAGAAACATCTTTATATGAACTACCAGAATTAAAAAGTACTAAATAATTAGCATTTTTATGCATAAATGTAATGATTTTATAATATTTCTGTGCCACATATATACATAAAATATTTTGATGTCAACTATTTCCAAAAAATTGGCCAATTCGATTCTATATATGTTCTGAAGCAAGACACAAATCCTCAAAAATAATTGCTATACTTTGTTTAGATGAAAATGCTTTTACACTAGGAATTTTTCTGGTAATATATAGCTAAATCATATATTTTCATAGTAAGATGCTTTCAGGTCTTTTGAAATTATGCCATATATATATCTAATGAATACCCATTTTGGCTCATTAAGATGATAACTACAAACTATTAAATCATTACAAGAAATATATCTTCTACTATTTTTTTTTCTTTATATATATATTCAGCTTTATTACTGAGAAAAAGATTTGTTAAGATATTAGTCTTATCTGATCTACTTTTTTCTGTAACTATCATTCTAAAGGGTCATATTGGACTAGCTGGATGAGATTGACAATGAGATGCAACATGTTTATTAGCTTCATCCATATCCATAAGGAATAGTTTCATAGAAGGTATTTTTGAATTTTTTTGCATAGTGGATTGGAAATCTATAACTCTGTTTTCTATATACTGAATAAAAATTTTCTTCCTTTTTGGTTAGATGAAAAATATTCCTGTATATATATCAAATAATTAGTATTGTTATTATAATAAGAACAACAAGCTTAACAATAGGGGAAATCTGATACTTATAATTAACCAAAGCTTTGCCAGTACCTAATGTTACAACAGGTAATGCTTTAATCTCTCTTATTAGTATATTATTATTCTTTATCTTAGATATAATATACTTTGGGCTTATTTTGGAAGAAATGTTACTTTATACCTGTTCATTATTTATCTGCTTCTCATTAGAGATTTCTGATTCTTTAGACATATTATCATTTAAACTGATTAAAGTTTGTTGAGTCAAAGATTCTTGGATATCTCTATCTACTTGACTATTCTCTGTCTTAGGCTTATATATAAAATATTTTGTAAAAAATAAAGAGTTCAGATCCTTTGGTAAAGACTGCATAACTGATATATTATCATCATTTTTTTTATCTGTCTTACTTCTAATCTTAACTTGTTCTGATGATAATCTACTATAGGGCAATAGCTCTTTGAGTCTAGTTTCTAAGAAGTGTATCTTTGAATTTTTTTCAGCCAAATTATTTTTTATTAGTTCTAATTCACCTTTTTTTAAAGTTAACATATTCTTCATATATTTTAATTCACTATTTTTCGAAGCTAAATTAGAATTTAAGACAGATAATTTGACCCTAAGATAATTAATCTCAGATTCTTTTATAAATGAGTCCTTCTGAGTTGAAGATAGC